CTCTTGGTTCTTCTTCAATTCCTCATGGTTCTTCCTCATTTCTTCTTGGCTATTGTCAAATTTCTCTTCCATTCTTTTTAGCCATCCTATGATCATTACTCTGAATTCTTGCTTTGGTAGGTTGCTTGCCTCTAATTCATTTACTTCCTTTTCTGGTGATGCCTGCTTTTCTTTCATGTGCGGGCTATTTCTTTGTCTCCCCATGGTCTCTCTTTTCAGGATGTCTGGTTATATGGTGTTCCTTCTGCGTTATTTAAAGGCACAAAATACAACACTACCAGGTACAACACAAGAGGCACTTAACAGGAATGTATTTACAATATTAATAACTTCTAATAAAGGTGACCACTAGATAAAGGCAAATTAGGGGATAGGAGAGAAGGAAGAAAGGTAAAAATAAAATAAAATAAGTTTAAAAAAAAGAGGGACAAAGAGATAAAAAAAAGAAGAAAAAAAGATAATGACAAAATGAAGTTGGAAAACAGGGAAAAAAGAAAAGAGAGAGAGAGAGAGAGAGAGAGAGAGAGAGAGAGAGAGAGAGAGAGAGAGAAGAAGAAGAAGCAGACTAAGAGAGAAATGGGAAATAAACTATATATATATTTAGAGAAAATTCCCATAGAACAACCACTAATCCCAGCCAATGCCAGTAACAATATTTGGCGATTAATACAAACTACAATATCCACTATTATTAAGTAAGGCTATGATATACAGAAGTAAAAAACAAACAAAAACAAAGAATTTTTTTAAAAAGAAAATACAAAGCAACAATAACAACACAGGAATAAGCATAACAATTTCACTAAAAAGCATAAAAATTCACTATAATCAACATTCACGCAAACAATGACAAAAGGATTGAGAGGAGAAAAGTTTGTTTTTTTTTTAAACTAATTAATATAGTGCAAAGAGTGGTATTTATACACTTGGATAGGGGTTGGAAATTAGGTCTATAGGTATGGTGAGAGCTTTAGCAGGGGATATACAGAAAGAATAGAGGAAAAACTAAAGCCGGAAAGGGATAAGATAAACATGAGACTAAAAGGGTAAAGGATAGTAAGAGAGTGATGGTGTAAAGGTTGAGTTGAGATAGGGATGAACGATGCTATAGTAGAGATTAAAATAAAATGGAGACTACTCCCAATGTAAAATAAAGAGAAAATAAAAAGGTACTGAAGAAGGAAAAAAAAAGAAGAAGAAGGAAACAAAAAATGCAAAACAGCAGTAGTAATAGTGATGATTGAGATTGAAAAATGTAATAATTGAAAAGGTAAAAACAAGTAAGGAAAAAAGAAAAAAATTTGTTTCTTAAGTAAAAGATGTAAAAAATGAAAATTAAATAAAAGATGTAAAAAATGAAAATAAAATAAAGAATGGTAAAATTAGCATAAAAATGTCCAGTAGTGGTCATTCACTTCCTCCGTTATTGTATTTGGCAAACCTGATTCTCGGACCAGACAGTCTTGCAGTTCCCAGCATTCCACTGCACCTCAGTTTTGCAAAGTAGTCTTTAATTTTAAGTAGGCTATATCTTAGTTATTTGTGTCCATTTATTTTTGATTAATTAAAAGTAAAAAAAAAGAAAAAGGCAGTTTGTAATTCAGCCCTTAGGTGTCAGTGTTACCGGTTTGACCTCCCAGTCTTTTTGGTTGCTCTGGCCTTCTTTCTCTATGGCTCTAGCTGCCAGAGTGCCTGCTGGCTCCCAGACTCTCTTCTGGCTCCAATCCCCAGTTTCCAGGAAGGCAATTTTGCCCTGCAGTCCCCAGGATATGCCCAACTGGGCAGTCCTTCCCTAGTATTCAGAAGCAAGGGGGTGAAGGGGATCAGGCACCAAGGTGTCCAGATGTTCCGCCCTTGGTGGGACAGCCCCGATTCTTAACAATCTGTCCCATGTCCCTTGGCATTTTAAAAAAAGTCCTGCTTCTGGGGAAGATTACGCCAAACCCAGCACTGGGTCTCACAAGGAAGGATTTTCTCTGCAGCACAGCCTTCTTTCAGCGCAGCTTGGCGCGGGGGCTGCTTGGGCGTGCAAAGGGCTGAAGTTGCTGCTGGTGCAGTGGGGACCCAGAACCCTCATGCTATCCCTGCAAACTGACCTTTCCGTGGGTGATCGAAGAACTCCCTTGAATCCATGTGTTTGCTCTGATTGGGGCGTCACAGCTGCTCCATGGTCTCCTTTGCTGTGGGTTTTCCAGGCCTCAGAGAAGATCCTCCTTTCCTGGTAAGATGGCGCAGCCTTCCTTCTGAGCCGTAGTTCCCGGCGAGGTCTACGCCGCTACAGTGCTGGTTGCTTGGTCAGGAAATCCTGTCCAGTGGACCCTTCCTTACCTTCCTTTAGAGTTCCTCTGCTCCTTTGCTGCCAATCAATATTCTGTGAGCGACTCAGATGCTGCTTTTCTCTGTTCTGGGACCAGGGTCAGAACAAGTCCATCTGTTCGGTCACCATCTTCTCTCCCTATTATAGACATTTTTATACCCATATTTTCCGGCGTATAAGACGACTTTTGAAACGAAAAAAAGTCAACCCAAAATTGGGGGCAAAAGACCAAAATTGCACAAAAATTACCTGCAGATTTTGACAGCAAAGTAAGTCTTTTCTTTGAAGTGGGGGGTAGTCTTATACAGCGAATATAGGCCTAAAACTATGTTTTAACTGAAAATTAGGGGGGTCATCTTATACGCCGGAAAATATGGTGATGTATGCTTTATGGAAATCTTTTCCATATGTGATCAAGACGTAAAATTGCATTAAATGTAGTCACTCCTTTGTGTTGCTGACAGCCACATTAGGTAGAAATATAGACCTGTAACCCAGTGTCTATATTATGAGGCAAAAGGCATATACTAGAGTCACAGGAGTATATCTGGTCAAAAACCTGTTCTGATCAGCACATACAGTGTTCCTTATAATACTGGATTTTTGATGCTAACTTTTCAAATTGGGAGCGTTCACATTTGCGTGTCTATCTTATTTGTAAAAATTAGGAAATGTTGATGGGTGCACTGAGTTTCCATTACTATAAGGCAGCGTTTCCCAAACTTTTGACATATGTGTACCCCTTCTATAATTTTCATAATGCTGAGTACCCCTCATACACATGAGAAGGTAGAATTAGGCACAGCTAAGCACAGTGTAGTGCATATCCCCACCAAACTCCTGTGCAAGGCGTACCCCCACCAAACTCTTCCCGTACCCCTGTGGGTACGCATACCACACTTTGGTAAATACTGCCATAGGGATCAATTGAGCTGAGTCATCAACTCAGTCTGTTGAAAGAAGCAATTGTGCAGGGGTCTCCGCTGACCCTACTACTTCCTCCTGATTCACATCCTGTCTGTTCACTCAGTGAAGGCTTTTGCCTGGCTTCTGTGGACAATACTTTTACGACCTATCAGCCTTGTTACTTGTCTGAGTAGTAACTCAAATAACACCCTGCCCAATTTACAACGATGTTTTTCCTTTAAAATTGTATTCAGAGCACACCTCCTATGATTTTTCTGAATGTTTTCTCTATAGCTTTCCTCTGAACATTTCAACTGCTCTTTTTCTTTCCCCCTCCAGAAATAGTACAGAAAATCTAGTTTGATATTCAAGATCTGTTGGAGAGGACTTCTTTATATGAGGCAGGAAAATATACAAGCCCATGTTAATTAAAGTACACTGTAACTTCTACATACATTTGTCTTTAATAGATGAAAGGAACTTTTCAGAGATTCTGTTTTGTTTTGTTTTTCATAAGCACAGACCAATTTACTACACATTTTTAGACCTGATCCATATTTCCAACGAAAGGAATACCAAATGATGCCTGGTGTTACTAAGTCGCTGTTGAAATTTAGGAACATTTTAAGGTATTGTCTCAGGAAAAGACTTCTGCATTTGTGGTAAAAACCAGTGTTTGAAAACAATGGGCTTGGCATTAGTCAATGTCTCATTTAATAAGGGCTCTTGTCCAAAACCAAGAGCTGACCATTTTCAATTTCTTCAGCCCAGGGTACTCTTGCAATGTCTGCCTTTAACCTGCTGATAGGGAGTTGCTAAACGACAGTGCACAGGCCCCTAAACCCCCAAAAAAAGACAGTGGATGTGGGAGGGCACAAACACAGCCTGGAAAGGCCAGGAAAGGGGTTGGGTGGTCTGAAAGAAAGCCTGGGCTTTCCCAAACCCAAGGGAATGTATGGAACCTAGGCAAAGAACACAGTGCATGTCCTCCTTGGAGCACACCCCTATTCTTCCTTCTCTTGGGCACATAACTTTTGCCTTCTTTTCTCCTAAGCTCTAAGGGTCCCCGGGAGACTTGCAATCTGGGGAGCAGCAAACAGAGCAGAGGATGCTCTTCTTGCCTCTGTAACTTCCTTTTCTGAGTCCACGCAGCCACTCCCCTATAGCCTTCCTGCTCTCTCTGCCTCTCTGAAAGCTTATTGCCACTTGTTCCTCTAATAAATCTTGCCACCGATCTAATGAACAAAATATACTGATGAACAAAATGGATCCAGAGATATAGAGCATGGAACAAGACTAATGAATTTTAGAGGAAAGGTGGAGGTTGGGGGAATGGTGGGGAGTGATTCACCTGGGAATTTATCTGCATACTACAGGCCCAGTGCACAAAATTTGTGTGCAGGTAGGATCCCTAGCAGCTGCCAGCTGCTGGCCAGAGCCTCCTTTCCCTGGTTGCTGACTGGGCCCTTTTTCATTCCACACCACCCCCTGGTGGTCAGTGCATGTCATAGCAAGTGATTGAACTGAACAGTCAAACTCCTGAGGGGACACTTTGCATATTAGGCTTTTATATATGTAGCTATGCATAGCCCATGGACACAGACATTGAGTAGTGAAGGCCTTGAAGGAGTGGGTGTAGGGTGAGGGGTTTAATGGGAAAGAAACAAATGGGACATCTATATATTTTCAACAATAAAGATAAAAGTAAATAAATAAATAAATCTTGCTACTATGGCTAAATTCCTTCTTTGTGAGTGTACTGAAATTCTTTTCTTGTGGCACTTAGTAGTGCCTATTTTCAAGGGTGCTGGGACTGACCCACCTTTGTGTCAGTCCTCTTCTGGTAACAAAAGAGATCTCACTCATTCTCATTAGAATGCAGAAGAAAGTGGTTTTATTGCTGATAATGCAGTATAACAAAGCTTGACAGAAGTTTCCAGGCTAAAATAATAGGAAGGTCTGGACCCTTCTTTTCCCTCTTCCTTATTGCCTTCCTTTGAAACATGCAGAGCTCCAAAGCAGGAAAGAATCATAATTTCTTTTTGTCCCAACTCTGATCTGGTGTCCTTGATGCTCTAGTTCTCCCAATACCCTCGTTTTTTTTTTTCTTCCATAGGAACCAGGGAATCAACAAAAGAAAAGGCAGGAGAGCGTAAAGGAACCTGTACCAAGGGAGAGGCAAAATGGTCAAACCTTTACAAAACCTTATCTAAGTGTACAGGAACCAAAGGATACTGAGGGTCTGTCTTCTTAGGGGGGTCACAGGCAATAATGTAGAACTTGGTCTGGGGAAAATCTTTGTAGCTGCAGTTAGGATACTTCCCTCCAGCGAGACTGCAGTTAGTGAGGCTAACAGGGTTTGCGCTCTGGTGGCAATTGTGCTGGCCATTCTTGCATTTAGTCTTCTTCTCCTTACAGGTAGCAGTCACTTTCTCGAGGGAGTCATGCAGAAAGGTGTTTAGAGGCTTGCAGGTTTTAGTATATTTATTGACATTACTCATTGCCTTGTTGCATTGGAGAGGGTTTGGTTGTATATGCTCAATTTCAAACCACTTAGCCTTGGTGAATTTCTTAGGCAAAGCATAAGATTGATAGACTGGTCCCCAAAGTCCCAGCAGCAATAGGAGGGGAGTAAAGCGTCTCAGGAGATCTAGCACCATTTTTTCTGTGTAGGAAGAGAGAAGATAACAGTAGTAGTACCTATCTATCTATCTATCTATCTATCTATCTATCTATCTATCTATCTATCTAGAGAAAGGTAATATGCAAATTTGTCTGGGATACACTTACAGTCATGACCAGCTACAAGCCTTAATAGTCACGACTGGTAAGGCCCCCACCCCTGAAGACACACACACACATACCCTGAGGGTTCCTGGACTGTGAGAGGCGGCAGGCTGGACTGAGGGACCTCCCACCCCAGTGCACAAATGTTACGCATCAGACCTCTAGTAAGCAATAAGATTAGAATTGTTATTTATAACCATTTAGATTTTTGTTGTGCTTTTTAAAGATTTCATAGTTCTTTCTTTCTTCTAACCATCTTCTTTCTCACTTGAGTCTTATACAATTCTCTGATGAGCCTGAAGCCCAATAAGAAGGAATTTGAAGAAGACCTTTCTTCTTAATGGCCAGATCTGATTCTTTTCTTTCCTATGCTCATGGGTTTGATGGTCCCATGTCAGAAACCTTGTGTGTTTCCCCTTCCTGCCTGAAATATTTATCCTCTATCTATTTGACTTGGACCTCCCAGCACCTTCACTGTCCTAGTCTCCCTAGCCCTGAGGCTTCTCTTACCAGCTTCCCACCTTGGTGCTCCCACTGGAAACAGAAGCAGTAGTTACTCTCAGGCTCAGAGGCTTTTGTAGGCTGTTTCTTCCACAGGCCTTCCAGAGCTGCTGGCCTTCTCAAGGGAAAAGTTCTGAGCTTTTAAGAAAGAGGAGGGCATGGAAAATAAACTTCTTGTGTGCAATACAGATGAGATATGCAGACCTTCAAACTCCTAAAAGGTACAAAAAGTTCCTGCTCTGGTCACTTCTTTGGGACTTTATTCTCTCATGAAATTTCCCATCTACATGTAAAAATTTAATAAAATTTGTACAATTTTTCCCTCTATTAATCTGTCTTTGTCAATTTAATTTTTAGAACCAGACAGGAAACCTAAGACAGTCAAATAAAACTTTTGCTTCCCCTATAATTCATAGGAAGAACTTGAGTTTGCTATTATAGTCTTTTATCACAAATGATGCCATTTTGGGCCTCTGTGGTCTTTCTCTCTTTCTTTCTCTCTTTCTTTCTCTCTCTCTCTCTCTCTCTCTCTCTCTCTCTCTCTCTCTCTCTCTCTCTCTCTTCCTTTCTTTTTTCATAATGCCAAATACAGGTTTAATACCTGATCTGGTTGCAATTTTAACTTATCCCATAAGCATAATCTTAATCAACCAATATGGAATTTTTTTGGCGAACCCAGTAAGGTAATCTGTCTAGTAGGCTCTCTCCATCCCCCATAGAAGGAAGATACAATTCTATATGATAAAAGCCTAATATGCTAAGTGTCCAACTTTTCATTTGACTATTCGACCAGTCGCTATAATGTGCACTGACCACTAGGGGGTAGATGCCCTGACTGGTAGGTTAGCTTGCTGCTGGGATCTGGTGGATCAGGACTGGGCGAGATGGGCTGGACATGCCCTGGAGCCCTCTTGTGATCCCTTCCAAGCCCTGATTGTGCACCAGTGGAATCCTCTGGCCTGTCCCACACCCTCTCACAAACCAGGACCCCTTGAGGGATGTTGGAGAGCCAGTTTTGGCCTGATCCCCACAGGCCAGGCTGAGGGACCCTACTGGTGCATGAATCCGTACACTTGGCCTTTACATAATAAATCTCTTCCCCCAAAGAAAAGTTGTTCCAGACTCAAAATAATCCTTTCTTTTCTTTTATTATTAGCTTTGTTTCCCCATCCTACTTCCTATAAAACCTTCCATTTTGTACAACCCCTCCAGAACACCATTCTAGTTGCTAGATATAATGCTGCCAGATTTATAGATTGCTTAATTGTTTTTTAAAAGATTGGAGAGATCACCATGAATTGCAGCTTACAATGGTCATGGAACCAAAATGATACATAAACCTAAAACAGTAGCAACAAGTAAGAAAAGAGTTTCAGTGAAATGTGTAAGCCATATTCCTAGATCTGTAAGTGGCTAGGTATGACTGCTGTTAAGAGAAAAGTTAAGCGAATGATAGGAGATGAGGCCAGAGAGGTGAGCAGAAGTCAGATTATGTAGGAAACTATGTGCTGTACTAAAGAAAGTAGATATTTATTGTAGGATATGCATCTAGTGTACATGAAAAATTCCAAAAATTTGAATGGCATAATCATGCTGGTGATCATGAAGGTCACAAATGTTGCAAATTAATTTTAATAATTAGTTTTGGTTGCAAGCAAAGAGCAATTTGAGGTAACTTAAGGGGAAAAAAGTGTAAATGATGGTGAGAGTAATGGTGATGGAAGAATGTGGGAGATATTATAATATGAAAAAAATATAGCAGAAGAATTGGTCTTTGGAAATAGCTGAAACCCAATAAGCTTAGGTAAGCTGGAGATCAGGGCTTAATGGGCATAAATCCACTTCCTTTTTTTTCTTTCTTTTTCTTTTTTTTTTTTTTTAACCCTGCATCATTACTTGAAATTCAGACTCTGAGGAAAGTATAAAGGAGGAAAAAAAAAACTTTTTCTTTTAACCTTCTAGGTTCTTAGCTAAAACTCCTTAAAGAAAGCAGGTTAACAAGAGAAAAACAAACAAGTTATTAGCATGAATATCTCATACATACATGAGAAAAACTCAAAGATGAGTAACTCAGAGGTTGCTAGAATTTGGAGTTATATACCATTTTTATCTGAAACAAAGGAAGAAGAGTGTGGGAAAGGCAAGTTATGGAAAGGTCACTGTTAGGTTTTGGCTGACAGGAGCCAGGCCAAGAGACATGATGAGAGTTTAAGAAATTGCATTCTCTCAGTGTGTTGAGAACCAGTGTATCAGTGTCAGCAAGCAAGAGTAAGGAGGGCAAACATATATATCTCCTGTGCAAGTCAGAGAAACCATTTGGACTGAGTGCTGGCGGGGATGAGTGTAGTGGTTTACTGGAAACTGGAAGCCATTAGTCATATCTTGCAAAATCTGAAATGAGAATAATAGGAAATCTGCAGGGAGGGTGGGAACTCAATGGGGTATATTGGAAAAGTACTGAGCCCTCGGGAAAAGTAGAAAATATGCCTAACATCCCAGCATTCCCTCTCCCGCTACCTCTCACCCCCTTAACTGGCATTTCTGTAAAGTGGGGTTGATGGACACTGGCTGATTTCATTCTTATGTAGCTTCTTCATGCTTAGGTGGTATGAAGAGATGTCCATAATTAGTCAGTGATTGAGGAAGGGGCTGATAACTAGTGTCGATCTGGAATAGCATCAGTGACAAGGAAAAAGCACAAGTAAACTAGGATAAATGTTGTTGTTTTTTATGTAACTCTTTGCATTCTCCATTAGTAAGAGTTTCTTGTGACTTAGAGTCATCTTTTTTCTTCTTGGTACAGAGAGGGAAACACCCTTACTATATATATTACTAAATTACCCTGCAAAAGTGTCTACATAATAAACATCCACACCTGTGGAGAATTTTTATTTTATTTGAGCCAAATTGACAACATATGCCAGGAGCAAGAACTCAAATATCTGAAAGAAAGAAAGAAAGAAAGAAAGAGCAAGAGAAAGAAAGTAAAGGAAAGAAAAAGGAAAAGAAAGAAGAGAAGAAAGAAAGAAAGAAGAAAGAAAGAGAAGGAAGGAAGAAGGAGGAAGGAAGGAAGAAGGAAGGAAGAAGGAAGAAAGATAGAAAGAAAGAAAGAAAGAAAGAAAGAAGAAGAAAGAAAAAAAAGAAAGAAAGAAGGAAGGAAGGAAGGAAGGAAGGAAGGAAGGAAGCAGTAGAAAGCGAAAGAAGAAAGCAAGAAAAAAAGACTAAGAACATCACCCAAGAAAGCCAAAGAAACCGAAGCACCAAAAGCACTCACTCTACTGTCGCTATCGCTTCCTTTTATGCATTTGCAATTAAGAAAGGAAAATAAGGAAGAGGTGGAGAAAACAAGGTTGGGATTGGATTACAGGATAGTTAACAAGATTATGTGACTTCTTGAGGGTGGTTACTTCTTATTTCAAAGGTAGATGCCCACACACAGACACACACCAACGGACCGGGCTTACATAAGTGACTTTTTACCAAACAGTTAATGTCTGGGGATGACTACCTATCCTGATCTCCCCAGTTAGGAGTTTATGATCAGATCACCACAGGAGTTTACTCTCCATAGACCCTCTTTTTTATTCAAACCTGAGTAACTTATACTCTGCTTTCAGAATTTCTCCTTTGTCTGCTATTTCTTGAAATAATTCTTAAGCCAAAGAGGCATATTTTAGGGTGGTATATTCTGCTCTTCTACAAGAATGTCCAGTTAGCTTCACTTGACTCTCATGATCCTCACTTGGCTCGGCTCTGTAAAGGACATTGGAAACCTGTATGGACAGCCTCACCAAACTGCACATGGAAAGGGAAAGGATAATTCCCTAAGGGAAGTGAATGTGCAGCTATCCAAATGAGGGTAAGTAGATATAAGAATGTTCAAGAAATAACAGCCACACATGCTATTTATACTAAATACAATTAAATACATTTTCTTCCTGTTTTGAACCAACATCTTTTCACCCTTTCATAAAAGCATCTTTTAAAGAGTTTTTTAAATGAGGTATTTGTGAAACTTCCCTATAGGAGACCAGAATATGTCACCCCAAAATATTTCAGTATATATATTTTGAAACAGAATTTATCAAGTGAGAAAGACAATCAGTATTCTCCATATGTGAACTGATTATTGAGGAAGAACTACCGGGTTAACACTAGTCTCTTGTGAGTTTGGCTGGTATAGGACAGGTCATCATCTCACAGGTGTCTGTTCATCCCCAGGTGCACTGAAAAACTGCAAAGCTGAGGAGTTGTTCTGGAAACATGATGACCAAGCTATATTTACTGGTTATTCATTGAGATCTGAGTTCCAGGTAATCACCTAATTGAAAATGTTAATACCATGGCCTTTTCTCTAATTGTTTCAAGGCTGGGATCATTTCATAATACAGGAGGCTTAAGAATACAAGGTACTATGCTTTAATGTTTGGTATTTCTTCTCCCTTAGGCAAAATTATATGAAGCCAATATTTCTCTTATTCTGTATCTCTCCCTCACTTAGTAAACAGAATTCTAGTGGACTATACCTACGGTGTCCTCAACATTTCATCCCCCAATTTACTCCCTCTTCCTTACAACAAAATTTAAGTCTGGAGCCTAATTACTGAGAAGAGTTGCCAATCTCACCTTATTTCTCTGCCAAGTAAAAAATGATTATTATCCAATAAACTCAATGGTGCTAATATCTTCTGCAAGAGTGTATTATTCCTCCGGAAACTACTGCCTTATCACAGCTAAATTGCATTTGGCTTCTTAAAGCTTCTTAAAGATATTTTTTAAAATTTGTTTTTATTGATTTTAGAGAGGAAGGGAAAGTAAGAGAGAAATAGAAACATCAATGAAGATAGAGAATCATTGATTGACTGCCTCATGAAGGCCCTCTACTGGAAATCAAACCTGAAATCCTGGCATGTGAGCAGGAATCAAACAGTGAACTTATGGGTCATGGATCCACAATCAACCACTGAGCAACAGCAGCTGGGCCTTACTGATATTCTTAATAAATGAGCCCAGGGTCCAACATGTTGAAGAGAGGACATGGTGAGTCCTCCAGGGCGAAATTCCAGATTTCTCCGGGTCTTCTGGTAGGAGCCATGATTAACTGTGCTGACAACATAGGAGCCAAAAATCTGTACATTATTTCTGTGAAGAGGATCAAGGGACACTGAACAGACTTCCTGCTGCAAGTGTGGGTGACATGGTGATGGCCACAGTAAAAAAAGGCAAACCAGAGTCAGAAAGAAGGTACCTCCAGCTGTGTTAATTAGACAACGGAAGTCATACCGGAGAAAAGATGGCGTGTTTATTTTGAGGATAATGCGGGGGTCATAGTAAATAATAAAGGGGAAATGAAAGGTTCTGCCATCACAGGACTATGTAAATTTGTGGCTCAGGATTGCATCCAATGCTGGCAGCATTGCATGATTCTCTGGTGTATTTGTAAAGGAATAACCCATTAAAAATTGGTGACATGAAAAAAAAAATGAGTCCAGTAGGAATCCCCATCATTCCTTAGCTGTTGGGGAAGGTTCTTTATAATTTTGGGAATTTATAGATTTTATATAGATAACAGCCTGTATTTGTATATTAGAAGACTCTATCTTCTGAAGCCAGATAGAAGAGATGATTGATGGGTACTTGTGATGTTGATTTTATCTAAGTCAAAAAGAAGGTAACAAGCCAAAAGATGGGAAAGAAAGAAGACCAAGGTAGATAGAGCACATACTATGAGCTAGGACCATAGTATCCTATCTAATAAAAGGGTAATATGCAAATTGCACTATTACTCCAACACACAAGATGGCCACCCCCATGTGGTCAAAGATGGCCACCCCTATGTGGACACAAGATGGCCACCACAAGATGGTCACCAGGGGAGGGCAGTTAGGGGTGACCAAGCCTGCAGGGGAGGTCAGTTAGGGGTGATCAGGCCTGCAGGGGAGGGCAGTTAAGGGTGACCAGGCCTGCATGGGAGGGCAGTTGGGGAGAACCAGGCCTGCAGGAGAGGGCAGCTGGGGATGACCATGCCTGCAGGGGAAGGCAGTGAGGAGCAATTGGGCCAGCAGGGGAGCATTTTGGCATCAACCAGGCTGTCAGGGGAGTGGTTAGGGGGTGATCAGACTGGCAGGCAGAAGCAGTTAGGGGCAATCAGGTAGGCAGGCAGACAAGTAGTTTGGAGCCATCAGTTCTGGATTGTGAGATGGACCAGTGGGATTGGGTCTAAATGGGCAGTTGGGCATCCCTCAAGGGGTCCCAGATTGGAGAGGCTACAGGCTGGGCTGAGAGACACACATACACACCCATGCATGAATTTCGTGCACTAGACCTCTAATATGTTATACTAAATCAGCTCTGCCCACCTCCACATTCCCAATCTGAGTAGCATGTCAACACAACTAATGGTCACAAGTTTTCCCCAATTAGAACATAAACATTTATGTTCTCATCATATGCATAAGCATATTACACACATGTGTACTTAAACTATACACAGCACACATTTCATCCAAGTATATTTAATATCTAATACTTATACCAATCACCACACATACTCTGCACATATAACATATATAAATGTCACACATATTGGAGTGATATAATTTAGTGTGAAGGGAGGATCATTCAGCTTGGGTAGGTATAATAAATCGATATCAGGAAAATTTCTAGATTAGTGAAAAAGAGATGTCATGTGAGCTGAATCGCATACAATATATATATATATATATATATATATATATATATATATATATATATATATATGCTGTTATATATATATATAACAGTAGAGCAGGTAAATGACAACAGAGGGTATTCCAGGCAGAGAACTAAATAGGTAAAGTTATGATATCAAGAAATCATGTGATACATAACTCTAAGTAGTTGGAAAACAGAGGCACATAAATGCAAAGTAATGATTAGCAAGGGCTATTGATGTGGGCAGGGCCCACCATTTGGGAAACACTCATCACTCTACTAAAACCAAGGGTGTGTTTAGAGGTTACTGATGACCTCTAACAACCGAATGTCCTCTATGCTATCAACAAACCCATTCATGCCACAATGGAATTCAATGTAGCTGTAACTCCTGTGCTCTTTGTAGCCCTTTTTGTTATTCCTCCAGTAACATTTGATTACTTTAAAGGGATATTGGGCCCATATATATACATTTCTGTAGTGATCTCTCCAGTTCCGGATGCATACATGCTCGATTTTGTGCCAGAAGGTATAGATGAAGATGTGATAGTTCCTATCTTTTGGAACTTCTCTTCCTTTCATGAGGTCATTGCATCTGTACTCAGTGAGTTCCCAGCTTGTGCTCAGGTGGTGCTGTTTCATGAATTCCTTCCAGGAAAGGTTCTGGCTGTGTACCTGGAGCCCACAAAAGGGCAACAGCAGGAGCAAGAGAGGACCTAGGACCTTCAGAGAGGAGGACATCTCAGTCACCAGGATCACCTGTGGGTCTACATGGAAGAGAGAGGAAAGCATAACTGCAACACGCCTGAGCTGAGTTCCACCTTAAAATTCCATTGTAGATATTTAGGCTCAATTTTACCATTTGGTTCCAGACTAGAAGATGATAAATCTCATTAGATAATAAAAATTTCAAGAACTGAAAATAGGCTAGAGCCTGAGTGAGACAACTACAAAATTGTAGAAAATAGATGAAATTTATTTTGAGAATTCCAAACATCTCTTCACTCAAAACAAGAAGTTCTGGCTAGCTATGTTTTACAGTCCAGATGGGTTCTCATAAGAGAGTGTGTCTGAAAGAAAATGGGACTTTAAGTTTTATGTCTGTGAAGTAGAAAAGGTTCTCACCCTTTAAGGGAATGTAGAAGATGAGTAGACTTGGGAAACATTTTCAAGGAAGGCTTTGGCTCCCTGTAATCCCAGGCTGCAATTAAAATGGACTCTGCAAGTGGGGCTTATCTCCTATTGACTTCATCATAGCACTTCCCCAATGGCTGCCTGAAACAACTACCCACTTGCCTTCTCTGAGGACATTTCCCTAATTATCACCATGCTGCATCATCGTGATTTGCCATTAAGAATATCATCATAAAGGAAATGCAGTTTTGAAATAGTGTTCTAAGCAACCAAATACCAAGATTGAAACTGCTCTCACAGGAGCTACTCTGGTCAAAATCAGGGCCTAGCGATGTTTGAAAAAGTCTCTCCTTTAGACCAGCTCCCTGTCCTCTGTTAGCACAAGGAGTTAACCTGGTCCTACAGAAACTCTAACCTAATTCTCAATATCTCAGAACTGGTGTCCTCAAATGAGCCTAATAGTAGCTCCTTTACAGACCTGTGAGAGACTAATGGGATTTGCATGAGAGCACTTTTGGGGGTCTTGAGTGCTCTATCAGGCACAGAACAAGAGATAGGCAGGTTCTCATTTGTGACGCCTATCCCTAGCTCAAATGGCCTAAAGAGGATGAGAAGACCAAGATTTAAGCAGGTTCAATGTGTTATGCTTGAAAATGTTGGGGAGGATGGGAGGTGTGAATTAGTAAGTTTAATGCTGAGTTAAATTTGGGCCTTTGCTTCTCACAAGTTGGATCACTGCATGCTCAACTCTATCACCAAGAAGGTCAAACAAGCCCCTTCCAGTGTTCCTGGACCTTTTCCCCAGCCATGCTCAGTACCAGCCCTTCTAATTCTAACTTGCCTTATTCAGATTTCATACTTACGTTCACAGGTCCATTGGGATTAGTGTGTGAATCTGAAGAGCAGAGTCAGTGTCCTTTTCCTTTTCTTAGAACTAAGAAGTCTGAGGCAGTGAAGAAAGGAATAGATGTGAGAGGGGCAGTGTTCCAACTGATTGGCAGTGGTGGTGGGGGCAGAGGGGACAGCCTTACTCTGTGCACCTGTTTATCTCCTCATCTAGAACACTGGGGGTCACTCTGAGAAGAGCCTGGAGCAAAGGGGTCATACATCAAAGGCAGTCTTCTGGGTACAAAGAAATGGCAAGGCCCTGGGGGCAGGAGCTAAAGAACAAAATTCAGCCAAGTAAGTTTGAAGATCTAATTGGCTTTATTAAGCAATTCAGGAATTGGGTAGCATGCCATATATCACTAGAAAGGCACTTTGGTTAGTTGTACAAAATGGAAGGTTTTCATAGGCAGAAAGAGGGTGGGATTACCAAGTTAAACACTGGATTATTTTATTTTGATTTTGATTTATTTTTTATTATTTTAAAATATACTTTATTGATTTTTTACAGAGAGGAAGAGAGGGGGATAGAGAGCTAGAAACATCAATGAGAGAGAAACATCGACCAGCTGCCTCTTGCATACCCCCTACTGGGGATGTGCCCGCAACCAAGGTACATGCCCTTGACCGGAATCGAACTCGGGACCTTTCAGTCCTCAGACCGAGGCTCTACCACTGAGCCAAACCGGTTTCGGCAACACTGGATTATTTTAAATAAGGGCACCTTCATCTAGGGGAAGGTAGAGGGCATTACCTCACCAGTGCTCATCAGGTAATTCTAAATTGATTGGTTTAAGAGGCTGAAATTTGATTAGTTATTAAGTTTTTGTTAGGTGTCATGGTTTAACAAAAATGACTCATGTTCACGATTTTTCAAGCTTATGATTTTTTGACTTTACAATGGTATGAAAGCAGTATGCATTCAGGAGAAACTGGCTGGGCTAAGCTATGCTGTTCAGTAGTGTTAAAAAGAATGGAGGTGAAAACAGTCTAAAATGGAGTCACTTTTGATAACCATGTGAGTTAACAGATGCATTAATTAGCTTGATTGTTGTGATTGTTTCACAATGCATACATATACTGAATCAGGTTGCACACCTTAAATATTGATATAAACAATGTATATCTGCTATCATTTAAGTATTTTCAGTTTAGTCCTTTCTCACACACACCTACACACACACTCACACACTCACACACACACACACGTGTGTGAGCACACACTCTTAGATACATACTTCCCTTCTTTAGCTGCTGGTGTCTCCATACATTTCTGTTCCCCAATTTGTTTCAAAATATTCAAAGGGGGAAGGGAGGGGTGTGAGAATTGTCTTTAGTAAATGACACAAATGTTTCTGTGTCTTGGTCATTGATCCTATAGACTTTTTGTCATGGACCAGTTTATGAGGGTATTAAGGTGTTGGTGCATGTTTATAAACTAGAAAATAAATAACAGGATAGAAAAAAAATCCCACACAAGAACCATAGCACCATCTTCACAGATACCTATAGTTTGGGTTTTTGTTTAAAATATATTTTAATTTATTTCAGAGAGGAAGAGCGATATTAACATCAATGATGAGAGAATCACTGATTGGTTGCCTCCTGAATGCCCCACATGGGGGACTGGCCCACAAGCAGGCATGTGCCCTGACCTGGAATTGAACTGTTGATCTCCTGGTTCATAGATCAATGCTCAACCACTGAGCCATGCTGGCTGGGCTTGTGTTCTTTATTAAAAGAAAAACATGAAAAATATTTCCAGTTAGAAAGAGTGAATGAGTCTTAATGATCTAGTGCATTCTTAATGCTCTGACTTTCTACTGTGATTCAAAAGTTTGGAAGAGAAAAAGAAAATTTTTGTATCATAATCTTATTAGAAGCAAACAGAACAAGGTTTCCAAATTACACAGACAGAGCTCTCATTTTCCCAGTTCATATTTCCAAATTTTTAATGTTTCCCTCAATAGCTGACTTCTGGGAATACCAAAAAAACAACAACAGTTACTTTAAAAAACTCCTTGTGATGAAGTAGAAAAAGTCCTAGATTAGTAGCCAGTTGAAGTAGATATTTTGCTTCAGCTTTTCCACTAACTTCATGTTTTTCAGAAAATCCTTTAACTTTGTGCACCCCTACTATATGTGGGAACATGAGTATCACAGGGGTGTGGTGGTATTAAAATGAGATAACTGAGATGGAAGCACCTTAAAATACTTGAAATGCTATATCATACATATAATGACTACATTCCAGAGGATGGGATCTGAGAGAGCTAAGCTAATCAATATTATAAAAGGAAGCAGAAGAGTTTACTGAAAAGTTTATTATAGAAAAGCCAGTCCCATTATAGGTTTATGCCTCCATTTCTCTTTGATGCCTTTAAGAGAATGGATTATATAGAAAAAAAGAAGTATACATAAGCAGAGAAGACAGAGCCTGAGATAGCTCAAATGCGTTACTCCTTGCTTTTCACTGAGTAAGTTAAAGGTCAATCACGGGGCCATAACCCCTGCAGGATAGTATCTATCTGTCAAAGTGCACAGGCACCGGGGGGTTACCCTCACAGGCAATGACCACACGCCTAGTACTGGCCCTGGCCCCATATCTGCAGTTGGGGGCTGGGGAACTTCCTGTATCTCTGCAATCTGTAACACTCACTACACCCTCATGGCAATTCATCTTGCCATTCTTGCACTCGATATTGGTGGTGCTGCAGATGCTACGAATATTCCAGATGTCTTCGTGGATGAAGGTATTGAATTTCTTGCAATGATTCTGAGTCATCCTCCGTCTTTGCATCATCAAGTTACAGTATTTAACGTCGCCACCTGTCCCAGTAGGATCCACATGTTGCCGCAGGAATCGTTGGTACATAGACTGGCCATAGGAGGGCTGCACCAGCCCCAGCCCCAGCAGGGTCAGTAACGCGAGCAGAAGCAATGAAAGAGTCTTCTGGAGAGCCATCACTACCTTGGAAGTGCCTGGGGAGAAACAAAGAAGTAGGAGAAAGGAAGTTAATAAATGGGCATCAGAGAGAGGTGTTAAGAATGGCAAATTGATATTTCCTCGAGTCTACTCTTTCTTCCCCACTTCTCTGCCCACAACTTTTGTTATCACTGCTTTCCCAAGAGTACAAAGTTTTCAAACAGGATCTTCTCTGAAAGTAAAAGCTTTTCTTTCATAGAGAGACAGTGCAGTACCCAGTACAATGACTCAGACACTGATGGACTGAATGTCCAGGTATCTCTGTCCTATATGGTCAGGGAGTGAAAAGGAAAAAAAAGGCAGATCTAAATGAAACTGGAGCTGTCTGTCTCTTGAGGCATTTCTCTAGTCATGTGATCTTTGGAGAGTGTTTGGTTCTCTGGAGACTATGATTCCCAAAAGTTTCGATAGACAGGATATGCCAATGAGAGTTCATGAACTGATTTTAATTCCTGACATCTGGGAATTGAGGAAAACAGGATAGAATAATGTTTAGGGTTAGGCTTCCCTCTCATGTGTCTATTTTTCTTAATTAAATATTTTTTTCAATTATAGTTGACATATAATATTATATTAGTTTCTGGTTTACCACAGAGTGCTTAGACATTTATTTATTTATTTATTTATTTATTTTTAATATATTTTGTTGCTTTTTAATGGAGAGGGAGAGGATGAGAGAGAAACACTGATCAGCTGCCTCCTGTACACCTCCCATTGGGGATGTGCCCACAACCAAGGTACATGCCCTTGACTGGAATCGAA